CGACACGATCTATGATTTTTCAAGCCTTCTTTTTTATCACAAATTGAAGAGGATACTATGACGATCATTTTGTAATAAATTTCATCTATTTTGGTTTCTGTTTGAGCACATTCCAATTTTAAAAGTTCACCGGAAAATGGCATTCTAGCGACTAAAAAAGTAAGTCATTTCCGACCTTAAAATTCTTGTAATTCGGGCTTCGATTATACATAAAAATTATATCAAATTGATGCTTATCGAAACACGGTCACAATAGACCTATACTTGGCCGACATCGGCTTCTTGAGCTATGGCCTCTGAAATAATTGTATGTTCTTCTTTATAAAATCTGAATTTTCATGTTTGGATTCCATATTCTTTCTCGAACTTCTCTCGTTTCAGGTCACGCCATGATGCGTGTCATATGTCAAAATGAGCGGGTCATCGAGATCTAGCTCGTATCCGAATTAACCTTGATTGGACACAAAACCAACACGTTAGGAGCATATGAAAACCATCCTGAAATGATAAAACACAATTTCTATAAATGGAAACTAGTTCACCGAGGCTGCACCGTAATAGTGTAAAACCTATCATTTTATGGTATGTTAGGCCCATAATTGTCGCAGAGGGTCCGATTGAGCCCAAATTTAGTGCCTAAAGGTTTTTCGACATTCCAGATCTTAGGGTAGTTGTCTGATACTGTTTTGAGACCCAAAAAATGGGGCTATAGTTATACGGTCCATTTTCAACATGACATGAAGTGGATTTAAAAACTATTTTTCATCCTGATCATATCAAAACTCATCAGAATGTGTCGAAACTTTGTGGGCATCTTTAGGGCATCAAAAACTACCCTCTCATGCAATTGAGGCCATTCTGACACTTTGTCAATGGTCACTCAATTTGAGGCTTTTTGTTACAGTGTTCCCATGGTCGGACGACATCTTGGGCACTGGCAGGATGAGGTTACTATCGGCTCTCTCCTTAATCGCCCTGGGGATACAAGTATGTCAAAAATGACTTGTAACAAGCATGTGCCAGGAGAATTCTCTGCTAGGAATTCAGCCATGGGCTACGACCTTTCTCATTTCAACAAATGATCAATCAAGTCGCTCTTTATGAAAAGTCAAAGGTTGCTATCGTCATTACAAAGCCTAAAAATCCGACAAGCCGCACCATCCCAAGTGAAACCAAAGCGCAATAAAAATAACAAGATAATAATATTACTGCCCAGGTAAGCCAAATTGTTGTAGTGTCAGCTCCACTCCAAGCACAAAAGAATAGCAATCAGCATACGGGCACCGGTACAACCAATAATTTCAATATCAATGCAAATATCAAGAAACCCTTTTCAGAAGTTAAGCTTCCACCATTGTCGGAACCTCTCTCAACTATAGTGTGGTTTGTTAGTACTAATGCTTTAGCCCACAGAGACTGCAATCTGAATTTAGGGACCTACAACTACTAGTTTGTGGCTCGCATAACATGAGCGGTGCAAGGTTAAGGACATTCGACAACTAGTCATATGTCTAAAGGCCACGTAGAGAATGGTCCAAGCTCCCTGGCCGTATAAGCATCCATAAGTGACTTAATTCCTGGTCACAATCCTATGTTTGAGAAAACACAAACAAAAAATTAAATTAAAACCAGATCTATGTTGGTAAAATTAGACTTACGGAAAAATTGGATAAAATATCAAAAACATGAAGGGGACTAACCAGGGCACAATATTTGGGAAAGCATGTACCTTTTGTGTTTTCTAATTAATTTTTCCATCAGTACACAATTTTTCCTAATTTTGTCTCTTTCCATTTCAAATTTTTGTTGAGCTACCATTGTGTCACATCCATCTCCAAGATGGATGCAACAATCTTTAGAGGACACTATAGTGGAAATGCATTCCTGATGCACAAATTACTTTTCCAACATTATTTTGCAATGATATGGAAATAACCTTTGACTGCAATAAGGAATACCTTAAATATTGACTTGCCATAAAGAACACCTTCAATATTACGCGGAACACCTTAAATATTATGCTTGTATATTTCTTCCAACAGGTGACAATTTGGAATTTCCAATCATAGTGAATTTTGTAGTTTGGATTGCCATTTCCATGTATATTATGAAAAAGGAGAGCAAGTGAGAGGGAGAGTGAAAGTGAGAGAGAGAAAGAGGTCATACCGTGATGAAAGTAGAGACTGTTACAGTTATACTAGAATCTTAAGAAAAAAAAGGAGAAGTGGGTGTAGATGTAATTTTAGAAGAAATCGTGTATTTTACAATTTTTTTAAAAATCTTCATGATGGCTCCAAAATCCATTTTAATGATTGCTCCAAAATCCAATTTAACATCGATTATCAAATTTGAAACTCAAAAAATTGCATATATGTTGAGTATCTGGGAATACGTTTTTTTAGGGCAAATGGACGGTCTAGTTAATATGTTACAGTATACACTATGTTTTGAACTTGAAACCCTCTTTTGTTTTTCTACTACCACAATTGCCAAGTCCAAGATGATAAATTTAAAGATTTTTCGGAGCCAAAACTACCATCTTCGGTGAGTTTTGAAGTGAGGCTTTGATTATTATGATGAAGCTGCAAACCTATCGAATCATTTAACTTAAAATATTTCTCTGGATATTTACTTATAAGAGCATTTTGGACATTTATGTATTTTCTTATTAATATTTGCATCCATACGTAATTTTTCCTAATTTTATTTTAATTTTTTGTTGGCCTACCATTTCGTCACTTCCATCTCCAAGATAGCTGCGACATGCTTAAGAGGAACAATAGTGGAAATGCATTTCCGTGATGCACAAAATACTTTTTCGACATTATTTCGCAATTGCAAGGACATGATTTAGGAACACCTTAAATAGGGCAAGCTTTCTATGCTTCCCCTACTGCATGGAAGTTCTATCCTCCCCCTTATCCAAATGTCCATTCTGAATGAAGGGCTAATATTGTCTCAATCACAATGTCACGTCTCTACACTATTTTATTTTTAATTTTATTTATAAACTATTTTGACACCAAATTTTGGACGTCCATTCTTCTATTAAACTCACACTAGCAAAAAATATAAAAAAAATATTTTCAATAAAATAAAATGATCAAAATGACCCTGAAATATTTAACGGGTATTTTGGTTATTATATTTCATCAAAAATTTATTTTTTATATTTTTAATAGGTGCATTCCAATGACAAGATGGCATGTACCAAATTTCATATTCATAAAATTTGTATAAAAAACTAAAAATAAAATACTTTGAGATGTTAAATCTAAGATCGAACGGTGAGTGGCTCTCTTGATAAAAAATTGACGGCTGGATGGTAGGAGGAGGATAGAACTTCTATGCTGTCGAAAAAGTATAAAAACTTTCTCCCCTTAAATATTATGCTTGTGTATTTCTTCAAACATTTGAAAATTTGGAAACCCGTTTCCAGTCAATGAGAATTTCATATTTTGGATTGCCATTTCCATAATATATAAGGAAAAAGGAGAGCAAGTGAGAGAGAGATGGGTCATGCCGTTGTGAAAGTAGAGAGTGTTACAATTCCACTAGAATCGTGATACTTTTAAGGGTATTTTAAGAAAATAAACGAGATGTGGGTGTAGATGTAATTGTAGAAAAATTTGGGAATTTTACAAATTATTTAAAGGATAAACATGTAAGGTGTGTCTCTAAATTTTGTGGGAAGATTTAGTCTCGGAGTTGGAAACCTTATAATAGCTTGAAAATTCATGTTGAACCTTAATTATGCAATTTTAAAATTTAAAAGCGATGCGAATTGAGCATATCTATAAACGCTTGAAAATCTTGAAAATAGATGGGCTAGGTAACATGTTAATAGATGCACTATTTTAGGATTTGAAATTCTTTTTGCTTCTTTGCATCTTCAAATCTCGAGGTCGAGATGATTAATCGGAAGGTTTTCCAAATTGGAATTTCCAAATTGGAAACAATCTTTTCTACTAGGTTTTTGACATGCACCTTACTTTTGTGGTATATGGTTCCAATATTATATAAATTTTTTCCAATCTTTTGTGACTTCCCTTTAATAATTGGATGCGGCTTCTATAGGTCCTAGATGTAATGAAACATAGTAATAACAAAACTTGTCTGGAAAGCACCTGGGCATAAAAATCCTCATCATGGCTCTGAAATCAATTTTTAATATTGATTATGAAATTTGAAGCTCAAAAAATTGCACAAAACATGAGGATCTAAAACACATTTTCTTTTAGGGAAAATTGGATGGTCTAGATAATGTGTTACAAAATTTACTATTTTTGAAACATGAAATACAAATTTGTTTTTTTTGACAACCATAATGGCTAAGGACGAGATGATAAATTTGAAAATTGTTTGGAGAAAGAACAACCATTTTCGGTGAGTTTTGAGGTATCATGAAGAGGCTGCAAACCTATCAAATCATTTAACTAAAAATATTTCTCTGGATAGCTTCTTATAAGAGCATTTTGGTCCTAAAGACATTGAGAGTACCGAGGAGGAGTCGAATGTGAAGAGAATGGAGCCAAAGCTATGGTGGTAGTTCCACCATGTTCCAGTTGAAGGTCACGGCCACGTCCTCGTGCTTCTTCATGTTAACAGAGACGAGAATGCTCTCTCAGTTTCGTAATCTTCGATCGATCGTCCAATTTCGCATCTGAAGCCCAAGAATGGTAAGCGAGAACTTGGATGAATAGCATTAGAAATATCACGGCGTGGCATTTCTTTGCCAGTCCAAAACAGAGAAGCCCCAGTGCAATATAACGCCCTCCCTCTCTCTCGCTCGCTAAAATCAGAGTGCTCATCCTTTTCTGTGTGTGTCTATGTCTCATATATATAAACCACTCACTCGAGCCAGATCTCTCCCCTCCCTCTCTCTCTCTGTGACACTCTGATTCATGAATTCTCCAAGAATGAGGAGATGGCTCGTAGAATCAGCCATGGCCATTCCTGCCCAAAGGGAAGAGGCTCGTGAGGAAAACTTATTCATGGCGATGTTGACCGAGATGGTAGACAGATTCGACGACATGGCCGACTACATGACCACCATCTCATGCACAACTGGCAATCAACCACTCAACAGAAAGGAGCACAACATGCTTTCTTGGCCTTCCAATCCCTAGTCCAGCCTCGCAAGGCCTCATGGCGTGAGATTAAAAACATAGAAAGGGTCGAGGATGAACCCCTGCTTGGCCATCATTATGGATTATCTCTCACGAATCGAGTCCGAGATCGTTTCCATCTGTGAGGATGTCCACCATCTTCTCGACTCCTACCTCATTCCATCTGAAGACTCTGCCGAAGCCAGGGTCTTCCACTGGAAGATGAAGGCCGACTACTTTCGGTACCTCGCTGAGATCAAGACCGACGAACAAAAGCTATTTGGGGCCTACAAAGCCCACTTGAACTATGAAGGGGGCCATGGTAACAAACTCTTGGGGCATTTCTTTCTTATTTCTTGGTTTTCTTTTCTATCTAGATCAATTTTTGGTGTTTCTTCATGTCTACTCAAGAAAGTGAGGAGGGTTTGATCTAGTGTTAGCCTCTCTTCAGAGAATCGCTAAAGTGGATCTGAGACCTGCAAACCCCACCAGGCTAGTGGCTGCTCTCAATTTTGCGGTATTCAAAGCGGATATCCTCAACTCCCCCGAAGACGCCTATGCTTTGGCTGTAGAGGTGCTTTGGCTGTAGAGGTGCTTCCTTCGTACCTCCATTTCTTTTCTGTGAATCTTTTTTTTAATCTTTTCCTGTTCCATTTTGGGTTTAAAACTCGGAATATTGGAGAATGGTTCTTTCCTTTTTCTTGGGTTTTCTTTTTTCTTTCTGTGTGTTATGGCATGATCGTAAAAAGGTCTATGGGCTTGTGTGATCAGTCGTTCGAAGAGGGCTTAGAGGGGTTGGATGAGCATGAAGATGACCTCGATGAGAGAGGGTCCATCATGTACTCCATTTCCAATAATATAGAACTCTGGACCTCAGACTAATGTCCAGGAGGTCTTTCTCTCACACTTCTCCTTCCAATTAGTCACCATCTACTGACCTTCCCTATCTGATTACTTGTGGATCTGTTGGTTTGTTTACAGGTTGAAGGGGATCAATATATCGAAGAGGCCCAAAGGGGGGAAAAGTAGTCGAGTTTGGTCTCGGATTCTCTTGCCCCCGTCGGCGAAGAAAACGAAGACGAGCAGCCTTCCAACCCACTATATCTTACAAGATGTTAGTGCAAAACTTTGTTGTTATATTTTGGGGGCTGTTTAGGCATTTATGCAAAATTTTGAGCTAACAGAGCACCATGTGAGGCAGCAACTCAATTATTCCATTGATCATTCAATCTGTATTTGGGTGTATACCCAGGATCTTTATTTCTTTGTTTCATGTTTTTGGGTGAATTTCAATATCTTAGCTTTTATAAATTCAAAATTATTTTTTTATTTCTTAACATTGTTCGTTTAGTGATAATAAAGCCATCTAAAAAAATTAAAATTCATAAAATCCTTCTATGACCTAGATCTAAGTTGGTGGTTAGTTATCTGTTTTGTTGTGAAGAATGTTAAGAAATTCACACCTCCAATTCTATTATGGAGTGACGGATTTCAATCCCTGCTATCTTTTTTTTTTTAATATGATGGTTTTTGGATTGGATTTAAGAAAAGTGATTCCGATGAATAGGCGTGGAAGAGTTGAGGGCATGGCTATATATTAGAGAGGGATGGAATGGAATGATTATGCAGTGACAATTGGTGAAAGAAAGATTAGCGTGAACTTGCCGAGGAATGTACCACCTGCCTCAAATTTTAGATATATCGGCAAGCTTTTTATGGTTCTCCTGTATCATAGAAGTTTTATCCTTCCCATTATCCCACCATCTATTCTGAATGGAGGGCTAAGATTGCCCCAATCACAATGTCATGTCTCTACACTATTTTATTTTTAATTTTTTTTTGTAAACTATTTTCACACCAAATTTTGGTCGTCCATTCCTCTATTAAACTCGTACTTGCAAAAAAAAAAAAAAAAAATTAATAAAATAAAATGACCAAAATACCCCTGAAAATTTCAAGGGGTATTTTGGTCACTATATTTTATCGAAAATTTATTTTTAATATTTTTTATAGGTGCACCTCAATGAAAATATGATACATACCAAATTTCATATTCATATAATCAGTATAAAAAAAAAAAAAAAAAATACTTTGAGATGTCGGCTAAGATCAAACGGTGAGTGGCCCTCTTGATCAAAATTGGATGGTAGGATAATCTGGGAAGGATAGAACTTCTATGTTGTAGGGGAAACATAGAAACCTTTCCCATATCTAATTAGTATAATACTTATAAAATTAAAATATTACCGGACAACTATGACCATGTGATGAACCTTGAACGGTGATGAGCTGCGGCTGAAGTGTTTTGTAGATGCTTCTATATATATATATATTGAAAAAGCTGGGGTTAGCCCACTAGCTCATATGAACATATGAACCCAACGGCTCAGATTGAATATGGGCCAACTTGAGGATCATAGATGTTCGATAGTACTTGAATTTTTTTTTTACAAATCCAATATAACGGTTGTATCATAGTATAATGCAATGAAACGTCTAGAAAACCATGTTTGTGGTATTTGTCGGATCCCAAATTTTACACACACTCTCTCTTCATCTCAATAAATCAATCCCCCTGCCCCCTCCCCAAAAAAAAAATCAATTTGAACCCAAGATATGGTCAAAATGAGTCCCCTCCAAAAATGAATCTGGACCATTCATTTTGTGAATTTCATGATCTTAGCCTTTATAAACTCAATATCATTTTTTTATTTTTTTAACATTACTCATCTAATGATAATAAATCCATCTAAAAAAATTGGAAATGAAAAAATCCTACTAAGGCCTAGATCTAAGCATCTCAGTAAAATGAACGGCCTATGTTAATTTGGCTAAAAAATTACTTCCTAGGTTGTATTTTCAATTCTGTCTTTCTTTGCGATTTATT